ATGTACTCATCTTTGTCTTGTTTTTATCATTCGTTTGTTCAATCTTTAGGTATTTTTAAGGTTTTTTCTCTATGTTTAAACTTTCTAAGCAGTCTTTTTTTGGTACTCCTAATTGGTAAAATTCTGCCATCTTTAGTCTGAATTAGATTTATTTGTGTAACTTATTCCGCGTTGTTGACATAGTTGCATTTTACTTGTACTTATTCAACAGTTTCAGACAGGAATTCTCCCTTCAGCCAAGTGTTCCTGGACTTCCTTCTGCGTACTTATGTAAGCATATATGTTTTATATGTAAGTAAATAAACTGAAACTGAAACTGATGTAGGTCTATTTCATGATGCAACTAATTTATAGGGATATTATGCAGGCCCATGTCTATGTAAAATAAAAAAGAAAGTGGCTTATAAGGTTGTGAAGGTGAACGTGTTAAAAGATATGCGCAGCCTTCATGAGCAAGAGTCAAACAAGTGCTTCAAGTAGTTATGAAAATATGTTTTTTTTCGGAATTTGTAGAATGTTTACATAGCACGTCGAAGGAACACTGGGTCATATCTAGTCAGATTATCTGCATTTGTTACTAGTTGAGACTAAGTTGACTCTAATGCAGGTGAAAATCTATACCTTACAGACCTTTCAGAAATGCAGTAGAAGCTCGTTAAGTCGACCCCCGTCAATTCGGCAAATTGGATAGTTTGAACGTGTTTCCTGGTTCCAGCCAGCATATACAATTTTGATAACATCAAACTATGCCCTGTCATGGTGGTCTAGTGGCTAAGGTACTCTGCTGCTGATCCGCAGGTCGTGGGATAGAGTCCTGGCTTCGGCGGTTGCAGTTTCGATTGAGGCGAAAGTGCTGTAGGCCTGTGGGGTCTGATTTACGTGCACGACGATTAATAGACTTATAGATTAATAATAATTTAATAAATAATAATATTATTAGACTAATAGATTTAATAGACGATTTATTAATCGCCGGTAATAGGCACACAACCCTAAAAATCGTCTCACGGCCTTTTTGTCGCTTGGTGCAGGAAATTGCGCTACGACGTCTATTTTGGCCGGGTCAGGTAGAACACCCTCGTGACTGACGACGTGGTCCAGGAAGCTGAGTTCGTTAAAACCAAAATGACATTTTTCCGGTTTTAAAGTAAGGCCAGCCGAACGTATGGCTTGGAGGACGGTGAATAAACGGCTGAGATGTTCCTCGAATGTTGCTGAGAGTACAATAACATCGTCCAGATAGACCAAGCATGTTTGCCACTTCAGGCCTGATAGTACGGTGTCCACGAGACGCTGAAAAGTGGCTGGCGCCGAGCACAACCCAAAAGGAAGCACCTTAAATTCGTATAGACCATCGGGCGTCACGAAGGCCGTTTTTTCACGATCTCTCTCGTCGACTTCTATCTGCCAGTAGCCGCTTCGGAGGTCCATTGAAGAGAAATAGCGCGCATGACGCAGCCGATCGAGTGAATCGTCTATGCGAGGCAGTGGATAGACGTCTTTCTTTGTGACTTGGTTCAACTTGCGATAATCAATACAGAAGCGCAAGCTGCCGTCTTTTTTTTTTTGACCAAAACCACGGGGAACGCCCAAGGACTTTTCGAAGGTTGTATGACGTCTTCCGCGAGCATCTTGTGTATTTGCTTCTGAATCTCCTCGCGCTCTTTCGGAGACACACGGTAGGGGTTTTGCCGAATCGGTCACGTGTTGTCTTCAGTAATAATGCGGTGCTTGGTCAATGGTGTTTGCTGTACCTTTGACGTACGCGAAAAGCAGTCTTCGAATTGGTGTATAAGTTCAAGCAGGTGCTTCCTATCAGAGGGTGGTAGCGTAGAGCAGATGTCCACCGATAAAGTTGTCGAGGCGGGGACATCCGCGTCATCTGGTTGCAAGGTAAAACAATCCCCGGCTTAGTCTACATCGTCGTAGTAGGCAATTGCGGTACCCTTCTGGATTTGACGGTGCTCGTTGCTGAAGTTTGTGAGGAGCACTTCTGCCTGTCCACCAGTAAGCGCCAGGACACCCCTCGCGATGGAATTGCCTTGCGTGAACAAAAGAGGGAATATGTGCTCCGCTATCACATCTTTATAGCAGGGACACCCACTGGACACCGACACAAGGCAGCAGGATCTCGGTGGGAGTGTCACATCGTCGGCTATTCGCAAACGGCCGCGCGGTTCTTCACTGCTGTTGTCAGCATGAGGGTGAGCGCAAAACGTCACCATACGTTGAGGGATGTTGATAACAGCGCCATGATCTTGAAGAAAATCCATGCCCAAAATTAACTCTTTACAGCAGTCTGGCAACAGGACGAAAGTGGCCACGAAGCTAGAATCTCCGATGCGAAGTCTAGTGGTGCATTTACCCGTGGGTGTCATCAGCTGACCACCAGCACTCCTTATGTGCGGCCCTGTCCACGGTGTCTTGACCTTTCTGAGGCGGTCGGCGAGCTCTTGTCGCATGATTGAGAAGTCGGCGCCAGTGTCAACCAGTGCTGTAACGTAATGTCCGTCAATGAGAACGCTCAGATCGGCACGTACAACTTCATCAGCATTATTATTCGTCGTCGTATTCATCGTCGTTGTCGTCATACCTTCTTGCGATGATTGGGGGAACTTTTCAGTGTGTCGACGATTGGCAACCTTGCCCCCCGAGGTCGCATCAGTTAGTTTCCCCGGCGCGGGCTAGGCGAACGGCCTCTGGTGACGTCCGCGTAGCTCTGAGGGAAGTCACGGTGACGCGCAGGTGATGGAGATCGCCAGCGACGCGGTGGGGTTGCTTGAGCAGGCGATAGTTGATCGGCATCGTGGGCACGACGGTCTTCGGAGCGGAAAGAAGCGGGACGAGAAAAGTTCCCGAACCCAGAATCGCCGTGACGGCAATAGCGAGCTATGTGACCGGGCTCTCCGCAGCGGTAGCAAATAGGTCGACGGTCAGCCATGCGCCACAAGTCAGTTCGGCGAACTGGTGGTCGTCTCGTAGAATCTCGTTGCCACCAAGGTACGGCAGTGGGTCGTGGCTGGAAGGGCCTCGCCACAAATGTCGGTGGAGGACGACGGACCACATCAGCGTAGCTCGCTGGATGTGGCTCAGGATTTGGCGCGGATGGTGTAATGGCTTGCCTCAACTCCTGGCGGACGATTTCGGCAACAGATGCCACTGGCGGTTGGGCAGGCGGAACGCAGAGGGCCCGAAGTTCCTCACGGAGTATTTCCCTAATCATTTGTCGCAGGGAACTTTCGCATACGGCAGTGTTCTGAGCTGCAGAACTTACTGCCGTGTGGTTCTGCAGGCGGTCAAAGTGTCGGCGTCGTTGTTGCAGTGCGCGCTCGATGACTGTCGCCTCTTTTATGAATTCATCTACAGTTGTAGGTGGATTTCGTACGAGGCCCGCAAACACTTGTTCCTTAACACCCTGCATTAGGTGACGCACCTTCTTCGCCTCGGGCATGTCAGGGTCAGCTCGTCGAAACAGACGGATCATACCCTCTGCGTACATGGCGGCCGTTTCATTGGGTTTTTGCACACGTGCCTCAATCACTTGCTGTGCGCGATCCCGTCGGTCCGAGTTCAAAAATGTAGCGAGGAGCTTTCGACGGAAGTCTTCCCAAGATTGGAATGTAGCCTCGCGGTTCTCATACCACGTGCAAGCGCTATCTTCCAGTGCGAAATATGCATGGCCAAATTTGTGCTGTTCGCTCCAGTGGTTGGATACGGCAACCCGTTCGAACTGTTCGAGCCAGTCCTCGACATCCTCGTACTCTTCCCCACGGAAAACTTCAGGAACGCGAGGATGTTCAAGAGTTACCTGCGAGGGAAGAGCGGTCTGCGATGGTGGGATAACCGTGGATGTCGTAGGAGCTGCCATGCTGGAAAGAGGCGGAACTGGTGAGGACTCTGGACTTAGGCCTAGTAGGCGCCGACTGAATCGATGCACTGGAGTCGTGACGAGGGGCTGAGTCTCTGGGCTAGATGAACGGGTCCGAGCAAGACTGTCCTGCATCAGGTTGTAGGCTCTAGCACCTCCACCAGTGTCACGACGTCGAAACAGAGGTCTTGCGGCAGAAACTGAGGCGCCAGAAGCAGGTAGGTTCTTTTAATAGAACGCGCAAGAGAGTTCTTCTTTTTCATCCATTTCATTGTACTTCATGGCACATGCACAACTGTCATTGTCTTTCTTTTTGACAAGCACGTGACAATATTATTTCCACAGAGCCATCAGCTGCGGGGGAAAATATATCAATGACCATGCTGCAAAAGTTATGTGTAGCCAAAATTAAACCTTATTTTTTTGAAGCATCTGTGTATTCACGTGTCATCTAGTCACGCACCGATACATATTGGTATTGTTAAAAAGAGGTCGCACAGTCTGCTCTCGTATAAAACGCTCCCATTTGAACGCCAGGGAGGTAGTTTGAAGCGAAAACGTAAAAATTCACGTATTTATGCACACCTTTTTTATTTTTTATTTTTTATTGACGTGATGTATTCAGATGTTGGCGCGCAAATAGGGCGCCGGCTACTCCTTATCCCTTAGAGGTATTTAACATAGAGCCCGTAGGGTCTAGATCTCCAAGCCCAAAATGTCCCCAGCACATACAATATAAAATTTAGCATAGGAGTTAGGACATGAGATCTCAAAACAACGTATTTATCAATCACATATATTTGCATATATAATGATTTTAGCACATGTAAACGCAACCGATGCATACAGTCAACAGTCACATAATTGTAAACCTTATAGTCAACAGTCACATAAGTATGTGGTGTCACGTTGAAAAAGAGAAAAGAAAAAAAACCGAAGTGTGCTAACATCGGCCAATAATGCCACTTTATTAAAAAAAAACTTTGAATGCTTTCACTGCGCACTTCTGTAAAAATCTTGCTGGCCACTGCCCAAAGGTTTCCTTAAGCTGAATGGTCTTTAATTATTTTTTGTAAAAAAGTTGTTTCTAACGATTTTCCTGTAAAGAGAAGCGACTATAAAGAAAACATACCTGACGTTTCCGAGCTTTTGAGATGACTTGCATTTGCTCCATTGAAATTTTCCGCAATAGATAGTAGCACAAACGCACAAAGCAGCACACGCCTGAAACGTGGCCCCATGGCTGGAACTTCGAACGAGCGACTGCCGAGTTCTGCGCAAATGTGCGCTCCATGGCGACGGTATATCAGCGAGTGGCTTATCAGGTCGCTATTTTACGTGGCCATAGCTCACAGCGTAAAAAAATAAAGGTCTTCGTATCGCTGATTAGGTTCTACCTTCGGACCTGCGTCACGTCTCACATTTTCTGGTGAAATGTTTTTTTTTTTACGGCGAAAACTGTTATGAGACCACAACATGGCTCACGTGCACGTTGCAGTTGTCCGCCACCGCCATGTTTGGTGTGCGTAATTACTATCACACGAAAACTCTGCAAAAACACAATGGGATTTGAACCCGGGACCTCTGCGTTTCGGCCCAGTATTTTATACCACTGAGACACACCGGTGCTTGGAACTACTTTGCAAACTGGCCTTAGGCAGGCTTGAAGTCGGGAAAGGAATTGCGTTAATGTGAGTGATAAAGCGTTTTTAGAATAGCAAAGGAACAATCGGGTGTCACACAATGCGAATTGCGCAAAGAGTGGGTCACCGAATGCTTCAACCGTTTACAAAAGCTTGATCTTGTTCACGCAGTAACTGTGGCGCTTACCCACTGTGGGGAATTGTGGGAATTACAAACGTTTCTGACGTAATTCTCCGTCGTCGTCAACCACAGCGCACAAAAAATGCACAATGTTCCTTGCAAGTGTGCAGCAGGTACCACGCTTCTCGGAAGAATGACGAAAGATGACAAAGTGAATGCCTCCGTACTATACAATGATTAAGGGCGTCACCCAGCAAGTCCACTTAAAGGCCACTCTTCTAGCTTTCGCTGTGACAGTGCTGCGCGTGCAGCGCAGGCCTGGCGATTTTTTTCTTACTTTTTGCTACGCCGAATTTTTTTGGGAAATACTTCCAACTTCCAATTTCAAAAATTTTTATTTCATCAAAACAAGAAGAAAGGGGTTGCGGGAAAAGGCGGCCTCAAGGGCAGCTCGACTAAGCCCGGCCCCCTCGCTACAGTTCGACAGTGTGCAGCACTGACTATAGGTACATGACATGGTAACAATAAGCTAAGACACTTTGCATAAGTATAAATACAATAGCGTAGGCGCACATAAAGTAAGTACTCTTTTTTTCATAAAAGTAGCAACGCTACGCCGTCGCATCAATAAGATATGCACAAAACAATTAAGAATGTAATAAGTGCCAATTAATAATTGCAACCAAATAAGAGAAAGAAAACGTGATGGCCACAACAAGCTCTATATAAACAGGCAAATGCATTTGTACATTTGGTATATGTACACGTATTGATGATCTGGTTGAATTACATGGCGGGAACACCATTTTTACGTTCGAGTCTCACGCGGACAGTAGAGAGCGGCCATTTTTTGTTGTAGATGCCGTTGCCGAAGGTTTGTTTTTATGTTTCGATGGTATCTTGCGACAATTATGGTCGCTTGCTCCAATGTGAAATTGACATGCGAAGTGCGTCGTAGCCAACGTAGCGTATATATATATATATATACATATATATATATATATATATATATATATATATATATATATATATATATATATATATATATATATATATATATATATATATATATATATATATATATATATATATATATATATTATATATATATATATACGCTTCTGAGCACCTTGCTGCGGTGAAAACAAAGACTGCGAAAAAAGAGGTCGTGAAATGATTCTGCGGCTTCCTTATGACACACAAGACAGTAATAAATTCGCATGTTGTCATCGACAAACTTTTAAAATTCTATTCGCAATTTATGAGTATGCACGCGATAGTTTTTATTCAAGCCATGCCACTTTGTCGCAGACTTGCGGTTTGTCTCTGCCACTTATAGCTGTCGCTAGAAAATCTTGTGCTTGCGGTTGGGCCTTAAGGATCTTCGCTCTTAAAAAAAGGATCATCTGAAAATCGCTCATTTATTTGCGCTGATCTCTGTATTTAAACTAGATGACTGAAATGTACAGAACGAAACCGTACGCATTTGCAGAGCAAACGACTCTCGTGTTCGCGATCCAGGTGTCGTGTGTTTGTAATACCTCGATTTCTGTCAGGCTCACCAGTGATGCTTTTAGCTGCGGCTTCATGAGTGGCCGAGATGAAGGAACGCTAGTGCAAAGGGCACGGCCTCCATAAAGAGCCCTCGAACGCCACGTCGAGATAAGAGATCCGGGGTGACGCCTCTCGCCGGTATCCGATCGCGGCCCACGAGACATTTTGAGTAGCGGCTGCGCCGATAACCAGGCTGATATTATGCGCGTGAATCTTAGCGCAGCCGAGAGAAGAGAACTTCGGCGGCTCGAAGAAGAATGGGGGCTGCCAACTGCGACTCGATTACGCCCTTCACCATACACCCGGATGTTATAGCACAAGTGGAAATGCTTGCAATTGATTCATCATCATCAGCCTGACTACGTCCACTGCAGGACAAAGGCCTCTCCCATGTTCCGCCAGTTAACCCGGTCCTGTGCTTGCTGCTTCCAATTTATACCCGCAAACTTCTTAATCTCATCTGCCCACCTAACCTTCTGTCTCCCCCTAACCCGCTTCCCTTCTCTGGGAATCCAGTCAGTTACCCTTAATGACCAGCGGTTATCCTGCCTACGCGCTACATGCCCTGCCCATGTCCATTTCTTCTTCTTGATTTCAGCTATGATATCCTTAACCCCCGTTTGTTCCCTAATCCACTCTGCTCTCTTCTTGTCTCTTAAGGTTACACCTACCATTTTTCTTTCCATTGCTCGCTGCGTCGTCCTCAATTTAAGCTGAACCCTCTTTGTAAGTCTCCAGGTTTCTGCTCCGTAGCTAAGTACCGGCAAGATACAGCTGTTATATACCTTCCTCTTGAGGGATAGTGGCAATCTACCTGTCATAATTTGAGAGTGCTTGCCGAATGTGCTCCACCCCATTCTTATTCTTTCTAGTTACTTCAATCTCGTGGTTCGGCTCTGCGGTTATTACCTGCCCTAAGTAGACATAGTCTTTTACAACTTCAAGTGCACTAGTACCTATCTCAAAGCGCTGCTCTTTGCCGAGGTTGTTGTACATGACTTTCGTTTTCTGCAGATTAATTTTAAGACCCACTTTTCTGCTCTCCTTGTCTAACTCCATAATCATGAGTTGCAATTCGTCCCCCGAGTTACTCAGCAATGCAATGTCATCGGCGAAGCGCAGGTTACTAGGTATTCTCCATTGACTGTTATCCCTAACTGTTCCCATTCTAGGCTTCTGAAAACCTCCTGTAAGCACGCGGTAAACAGCATTGGGGAAATTGTGTCCCCCTGCCTTACACCCTTCTTGATTGGGTATTCTGTTGCTTTCTCTAGAAGCACTATGGGTAGCAGTTGATCCCCTGTAGATTTCTTCCAGAATGTTTATATATACTCATCTACGCCCTGATTCCGCAGTGTTTGCATGATGGCTGATATTTCTACTGAATCAAACGCCTTCTCGTATCTATGAAGGCTATGTATAGTGGTTGGTTATACTCTGAGCATTTCTCTATTACCTGATTGATAGTATGAATGTGGTCAATTGTTGAGTAGCCTGTTCGAAATCCTGCTTGTTCCTTTGGTTGATTGAATTCTAATGTTTTCTTTACTCTGTTAGCAATTACCTTGTAAATAGCTTGTATACTACAGAGAGCAAGCTGATCGGCCTGTAATTCTTCAAGTCCTTGTCATCTCCTTTCTTATGTATTAAGATGATGTTAGCGTTTCTTCCAAGACTCTGGTACTCTTCCTGCCAGGAGACACCTCGTAAACCAGGGTGGCTAGTTTTCTAACACAATCTGTCCTCCATCTTTCAGCAGATCTGATGTTACCTGATCCTCACCAGCGGCTTTGGCCCCTTTGCATGCTCTCTGCAATTGATATATGTAAGAAAAGAAGCTGCAACATTCACAGCGAGGAATATATATGGTTTTCACATTCAGAATCACCATCGCCGTGTGTCGCCGTAAGCATGCACTAATATATATATATATAATATATATATATATATATATATATATATATATATATATATATATAATATATATATAATATATATATATATATATATATATATATATATATATATATATATATATATATATATATATATACGCTTCTGAGCACCTTGCTGCGGTGAAAACAAAGACTGCGAAAAAAGAAGGTCGTGAAATGATTCTGCGGCTTCCTTATGACACACAAGACAGTAATAAATTCGCATGTTGTCATCGACAAACTTTTAAAATTCTATTCGCAATTTATGAGTATGCACGCGATAGTTTTTATTCAAGCCATGCCACTTTGTCGCAGACTTGCGGTTTGTCTCTGCCACTTATAGCTGTCGCTAGAAAATCTTGTGCTTGCGGTTGGGCCTTAAGGATCTTCGCTCTTAAAAAAAGGATCATCTGAAAATCGCTCATTTATTTGCGCTGATCTCTGTATTTAACTAGATGACTGAACTGTACAGAACGAAACCGTACGCATTTGCAGAGCAACGACTCTCGTGTTCGCGATCCAGGTGTCGTGTGTTTGTAATACCTCGATTTCTGTCAGGCTCACCCGTGATGCTTTTAGCTGCGGCTCATGAGTGGCCGAGATGAAGGGAAGCTAGTGCAAAGGGCACGGCCTCCATAAAAGCCCTCGAACGCCACGTCGAGATAAGAGATCCGGGGGTGACGCCTCTCGCCGGTATCCGATCGCGGCCCACGAGACATTTTGCGTAGCGGCTGCGCCGATAACCAGGCTGATATTATGCGCGGTGAATCTTAGCGCAGCCGAGAGAAGAGAACTTCGGCGGCTCGAAGAAGAATGGGGCTGCCAACTGCGACTCGATTACGCCCTTCACCCATACACCCGGATGTTATAGCACAAGTGGAAATGCTTGCAATTGATTCATCATCATCAGCCTGACTACGTCCAACTGCAGGACAAAGGCCTCTCCCATGTTCCGCCAGTTAACCCGGTCTGTGCTTGCTGCTTCCAATTATACCCGCAAACTTCTTAATTCA